CCATCTCCATTTTGTTTGTTGTCATTTTACAGTGCCTTTCTCCTATTCCTTGCTTCACGGAAAGACCTCTGTATTTATTTATTATTGTTAATTTTCTTGTCTAACTCGTTTCATATTTTTTTAGTAAAGTATCATTTATATACAATCTTACAGTGGTTTCAAATACACAACACAGTTGTTCGACATTTACCCATATTATCAAATCCTCATTCCCTCCAGTGCGGTCACTATGTATCAACATAGTAAGATGTTACAGAATCATTAACTGTATTGACCATGTTTACTGCTGTCCCTGTGACCAGCGTACATTGTGATTACAAATTATTGTGCCCCTTAACCCCCTTTTCCCTGTTCCCCCACCCTCCCCAACCCCTCTCCTTTGGTAACCACTTGTCCCTTTCGGTGTCTATGAGTATACTTCTGTTTTGTTCCTTCTGTTTTGCTTTGTTTTTGTACTCCACAAATAAAGGAAGTCATTTGGTATTTGTCTTTCTCTGCTTGCCTTATTTCACTGAGCATAATACCCTTGGAAAGCCTTCTTTATATGAGCTCCATAAGGGCAGGAATCTTCGAATTGTGCTTGGTATATAATAAGTGCTCAGTAAATATTGAGTGAATATGTGAAAATCTGTTTTGTTTTTATAAATCCTTATCAAATAAGATGATGAAATCTTATACTGTAACTATTGTTATGGTTGTTGATCTGTGCCCCCTAATTTTCCATAGCTATACTTCTAATTACATTTTTTAAAAATATGTGAGAAACAATATAATAAAGTGATAAATAAAGTGATAAAGGGCATTGATTTTGGTGTCAGGCAGAGTTGGAATTCATCCTCCTCCACTTGCTAATTATGTGACTTTGAGCAAGGTACTTAACCTCTCATACCTCATCAGAAAAATGGGGTTGGGTAATAGTACCTACCTCACAGGATTGCTGGGAGGATTAAAGAAGATAATACGTGTGATGTCTAAATTAAGTGAAGGAGCCATTTTAATGTGTAATAAATGTTCTTTTTCTGCTTCAAATTACTTAGGATTCAGCTGTACAAGACATGATCAGTGTCCTAAAGGAATGTACCTATTAGCCTATAAATGGAAAATAAGTATATATATATATATTTAAAACACTGGAGGAATATCTGAGTAAGTTAGAATGAATAAAATAGAGGCTGAATACACATCAGTGACGAGATTTTTAAAAAATTTTTAATTTGTTTTTGACAAGATTGTATATACTTAAGATATGTGCATGATGTTTTGATATATGAATACATTGTAAAATAATTACCACAATAAAACTAACATATCCGTCACCTCCCATAGTATTTTTTATGTGTCTTTGTGAAAACACTTGAAATTTACTGTCTTATTAAATTTCAAATATATAATACATTATCATTACTGTGTTACCCTGCTGTACATTAGATCTCTAGTATTTATTATTCTTATAACTGAAAGTTTATACCCTTAGATCAGTATCTCTCCTTTTCTCCTATCCCCAGCTTTTAGTAACTACCATAATACTCTGTTAGTATAAGATCTACTTGTTATTTTAAGAGTCCATGTATAAGTGAGGTAATGTGATACTTGGCTTTCTGTGTCTGACTTATTTCACTTAATGTTCTCCAGGTTCATCTATGTTGTCACAAGTGGCAAGATTTCCTTCTTTTTAAATGGTAAATAATACTGTTTATGTGTGTGTATACACACATACACTATATATATGACATTTACATATATAACATTTTCTTCATCCATTCATCTGTCCATGGATATTTAAGTTCTTTCCATATCTTGGCTACTATGAATAATGCTGCAGTGAACATGGGAGGGAAGATAACTGCAAGATAGTGATTTTTATTTCCTTTGGCTATATACCCAGAAGTGGGAGTTCTATTTTTAACCAAAAATTTTTCTATTTAGGTATAATTGGCATATAAGATTATATTGGTTTCAGGTATACAAAATAATGATTCAATATTTGTGTATATTACAAAATGATCACCACAATAAGGCTATTTACCATACAAAGTTGACTATTAAGATTTTACTCTCTGGGCAACTTTGAAGTATGCTTTGTAATAATACTGATTGTAGCTACCATGCTGTACCTTATATCCCCATGACTTATGTTTTTTATAGTTAGAAGTCTGTACCTCTTGACTCCTTTACCCATTTTGTCCAACCGCCCACCCCGCTGCCTTCTGGCAACCATCATTCTGTTCTCTATCTCTGATTTTTATTTTGTTCGTTTTTTTAGATTCCATATATAAGTGAAATAATACAGTATTTGTCTTACTGCAGCTTAGTTTGCTTAGCAGAACTCCCTCAAAGTTCATCCATGTTGACATAAATGGCAAAATTCCAATTTTTCTATGGCTGGGTACTCTTCCATTGGGGTGTGTGTGTGCTTTCCATAGTGCACTATAAGTTCCTTTTTCTCCACATTCTTGCCGACACTTGTTATTTCTTGTCTTTTTTATAGTAGCCATTCTAAAAGTTCTGAGGTGGTATTCCAGTGTGGTTTTGACTTCCTTGATGGTTAGTGATGCTGAGCATCTTTTCATGTGCCTGTTGGCCATCTGTATGTCTTTTTTTGGACAGATATCTATTCAGATCCTCTGCCTGTTTTTTAATCAAACTGTGTTTTTGCTACTGAGATTTATTAAGAGTTCTTTATATATTTTAGAAATTATCCCCTGACCAGATATATGATTTGCAAATATTTTCTCCCATTTGATAAATTGCCATTTCATTTCATTTTTTTATGGTTTTGTTTGATGTACAGATGTAATCTGCACCTATAGGTGACTATAGTTAATGATACTGTATTATATATTTGAAATAAGAGAGTAAATGTCAAGTGTTTTCACAAAGACACAGAAAAAGTAACTATGGGAGGTGATGGACATGTTGATAAGCTTTATTGTAATTATTTTACAGTGTATTCATATGTCAAAACATCATGTATATATCAAAAAATATTTCTTTTGATAGTTTATTTTTTGTGCAGTTCTATGTGGTTCCACTTGTTTGTTTTTGCTTTGGTTGCTTTTGCTTTTGAAGTAGATCCATAAATTCATTGCCAAAACCAGTGTCAAAGAGCTTGCTGCCCATGTTTTCTTCTAGGAGTTTTATGGGTTTCAGGTGGTTTTACAAGTCTTTAATCCATGTTGAGTTAATTTTTGTGTGGGGCAGGATAGTGATCTAGTTTCACTTTTGGTATGTGTCCAGTTTTCCAACACTATTTATTGAAAAAACTGTAAATTATTTCCACATTGTAAATTATTGCCTCCTTTGTCATCAATTAATTGACCACATATGTGTGAGTTTATTTCTAGTTCTCTGTTCTGTTCCATTGATCCATGTGTCTGTTTTTATGCCAACACCAGATTTTTTTATTACTATAGTTTAATGATACAGTTAGAAATCAGGGATCATGATGCCTCCAGATTTGTTCTTCCTTGTCAAGTTTGCTGTGGTTATTTGGGTTCTTCTGTGATTCCCTACAAGTTTTAGGATTGTTTGCTTTATTTCTGTGAAAAATGTAATCTAAATTTTGATAGGGATTACATTGAATCTGTGTATTACTTTAGATAATATGGACATGTTGATATTAATTCTTCCAATCCATGTAAAAGAATAGCTCCAATCCATGGAGCACAAGAAAACTTACAGTTTTCCAGCAAACAGGTCTTTCACCCCCTTGGTTAAAATTATTCCTAGATGTTTTATTTTTTATGCAATTGTCAATAGGATTTATATATATTTATGTTTATATATTTTTATATATTTTGATGTAGTTATAAATGTTTTCTTAATTTCTCTGATAGTTCATTGTTTATAGAAATGCAAGTGATTTTTGTTTATTGATTTTGTACCCTATCATTTTACTGCATTTGTTTATTCTAACATATTTTTATGTGGAGTGTTTAGAATTTTCTGTATTTACGATTATGTCATCCAGAAATAGTCAGTTTTGCTTCTTCATTTCCATTTTGGATGCTTTTCATTTTCTTTCATTGCCTAATTGCTCTGGCAAGGACTTCCCTTACCATGTTGAATAAAAGTGGGGAGAGTGCACTTGCTTGTCTTGTTCTGATCTTAGAGGAAAATATTTCAACTTTTTACCTTTGAGTATGATGTTAGCTGTGGGCTTGTCATATATGACCTTTGTTATGTTGTGGTATATTCCTTTTACATCCAGCTTGTTGAGTGTTTTTTTTTTAAATCATAAATAGATGTTGAATTTTGTCAAATGCCTTTTCTGCATCTATTGAGATGACCATATGACTTTTATCCCTCATTTTGTTAATGCAGTGTATCATGTTGATTGATTTTGGTTGTTCAGCCATCTGTGTATAAATTCTACTTGATAATTTCTTCTTGAAATAAATTCTACTTGATCATGTTGTATGATCCTTTTAAAGTATTGCTGAATTAGGTTTGCTAATATTTTGTTAAGGATTTTTGCATCTATGTTCATCAGGGATATTGGCCTGTAATTTTATTTTTTTGTGTGATGTCATTGCCTTATTTTGGTATCTCAGTAATGCAGGTCTTATAAAATGAGTTTGGAAGCAGCCCCTCCTTTTCAGTTTTTTTGGGAGAATTTGGGAAGGATAGGTATTAAATCTTCTTTGATTATTTGGTAGAATTCACCAGTGAAACCTGGTTTTGGACTTCAGTTTTTGGAAGGTTGTTGATTACTGATTCGGTCTCTATATGAGCAGTCCTTCTATTCAGATTTTCTATTTCTTCCTGATACAGCCTTGGAATATTATATGATTCTAAGAATTTATCCATATCTTCTAAGTTGTCCAATTTGTTGGCATATAACTGTTCATAGTAGTTTCTTGTGATCCTTTGTATTTCAGTGATATTATTTGTAAGTTTACTTTGATTTCTTTTTATCTGGTGACCGTCAGTAAAGGTTTGTCAATTTTATCTTTTCAGAGAACCAGCTCTTAGTTTCACTGATCTTTCCTATTATCTTTTTAGTCTCCAGTTAATTCATTTCTACTCTGATATTTTTTCCTTCTACAGACTTTGGGCTTTGTTTGTTCTTCAATTTCTAGTTCCTTTATGTCTAAAGTAAATGATTTATATGAGATTTTTCTCATGTCTTGAGGTAGGTCTGTATTACTATGAACTTCCCTCTTAGAACTGCTTTTGCTGCATTCATAGATTTTGGTACATCATATGTCTATTTTAATTTGTCTCTAAGTATTTATTTTTATTTTTTTTATTTATTTAGTGGCCCAGTGGTTGTTGAGTAGCATGTTGTTCAATCTCCACATATTTGTAAATTTTTCCAGTTTTCTTCTTGTAATCGATTCCTAGTTTCATACCGTGTGGTCAGAAAAGATGTTTGATATAATTTAAATCTTCTTAAATTTATTGGAACTTGTTTTGTGGCCTGATATGTGATCCAGCTTGCATAATGTTCCACGTACATTTGTGAAGAATGTGTGTTTTGCTGCTTTTGGGGGGAATGCTCTATATATATCTATAAAGTCCATCTGGTCTAAAGTATAGTTTAAGGTTGGTGTTCCCTTATTGATTTTCTGTCTAGATGACCTATCCATTGATGCAAGTGGGTGTTAAAGTCCCGTACTATTATTGTATTATGTCAGTTTATCCCATTAGGTCTGTTATATTTGCTTTATATATTTTGGTACTTACATGTTGGGTGCATATATATTTACTCTGTTAGAGTAATGTTATATAGAGTAATGTTATATATTTACTCTGTTAGTAGAAATGTTATATCATCTTGTTGAATTGATCCCTTTATTATTATGTAATGCCCTTCTTTGTCTCTTGTTACAGTCTTTGTTTTAAAGTCAATTTTGTCTTCTATATATATGAGTATACACTAGCTTTTTTTTTTCACTTTCATTTGCATGGAATATTTGTATCCATCCCTTCTTTTTCAGTCTTTATGTGTCCTTACATCTAAAGTGAGTCTCTTGTAGGCAGCAGATAGATAAGTCTTATTTTTTATCCATTCAGCAACTCCGTATCTTTAGATTGGAGAATTTAGTTCAATTGTTATCAGCCATTCTTTCTCTTTTTAAAATTGAAGTATAGTTGATATTCAGTCATATTGGTTTCAAGTGTACAACGCAGTGGTTCAACAGTTAGCCATGTTATTAAATTCTCACCCACACTACTGCAGGTACTATCTGTCAACATAGGAAGATGTTACAGAATCTTCAGCTATATTCTCCATGCTGTATTACCATCCCTATGACCAACTTATATTATGATTGAGAATTTTTGTTCAGCCATTATTTCTTAAATAAGTTTTTTGCCCTTTTCTCTTCTTTTTCTCGTTCTGGGACCCCCATAATGCAAATGGTATTCCACCTGTGTTGTTTTATAGTTCCTGTAAGCTATCTTTACTTTTTAAAATTCTCTTTTCTTTTTGCTGCTCTGTTTGGATGAGTTCCATTGCTCTGTCTTTCAGATTGCTGATCTATTCTTTTTATCTAGTCCATTGTTGAAACTCTCTAGTATATTTTCCAGTTCAGTTATTGTATCCCTCAGCTCTGTGACTTCTGTTTGGTACTTTCTTATAATTGTCTATTGCTTTGTTGAAGTTCTCACTGTTTTCATGCATTCTTCTGAGTTTGGTGAGCATCTTTAGGACTACTACTTTGAATTTTTATCTGGTAGATTACTTACCTCCATTTCATTAAGGTCTTTTTCTGGTTGTTTTTTTCTTCTGTTTGGAATATATTCCTCTGTTTCCTTATTTTGCTTGACTCCCTGTTTGCATCTGTGTTTTAGGCATAACAGCTGTTTCTCCCAGTCTTGAAAGAGTGACCTTGTATAGGTTATGAACTTTATTATTTGACCTTGCCCTAGCTTTTGGTTGTCTCTTGAACCCTCATGATTGTATAAGTAGCCTGATTATTCTTATCCCCAGTGTTGAGGGTGTTCCAAGACCTTTCAGTGTGCCAATGGGGAGGGTCTTATTTATCAGCTAGTTTCAGGCAGATAGGAAGCCAGACCCTCTGGCAGCAACTTTTTTTTTTGTGGTCTCTATGTACAGATTTTTAAAATTAAGGTATTACTGATATACACCCTTATGAAGGTTTCACATGAAAAACAATGTGGTTACTACATTCACCATATTATCGAGTCCCCCCCTTACCCCATTGCAGTCACTGTCTATCAGTATAGTAAGGTGCCACAGAGTCACTATTTGCCCTCTCTGTGCTACACTGTCTTCCCCATGATCCCCTACACACCATGTGTACCAATCATAAACCCCTCAATCCACTTCTCCCTCCATCCACACCTGCCCTCCCCAACCCCTCACCTTTGGTAACTGCTAGTCCCTTCTTGGAGTCTGTGAGTCTGCTGCTGTTTTGTTCCTTCAGTTTAGCTACGTTGTTATACTCCACAAATGAGAGAAATCTTTCTCTGCCTGGCTTATTTCACTGAGCATAATGTCCTCCAGCTCCACCTATGTTGGTGCAAATGGTAGGATTTGTTTGTTTCTTATGGCTGAATAGTATTCCATTGTGTATATGTACCACATCTTCTTTATTCATTCATCTGCTGATGTACACTTAGGTTGTTTCCATGTCTTGGCTATTGTAAATAGTGCTGCAATAAACATAGGGGTGCATATGTCTTTTTGAATCTGAGTAATTATATTCTTTGGGTAAATTCCTAGGAGTGGGATTCCTGGGTCAAATGGTATTTCTATTTTTAGTTTTTTGAGGAACCTCCATACTGCTTTCCACAGTGGTTGAACTAATTTACATTCCCACCAGCATTTATTGTTCCTAGTCTTTTCAATGTTGGCCATTCTAACTGGTGTGAGGGGATATGTCATTGTGGTTTTAATTTGAATTTATCTGATAATTAGCAGTGTGGAGCATCTTTTCATGTGCCTGTTGGCCATCTGAATTTCTTCTTTGGAGCACTGTTCATATTCTCTGCCCATTTTTTTATAGTGTTATTTGCTTTTTGGGTGTTGAGGTGTGTGAGTTCTTTATATATTTTGCATGTTAACTCCTTGTCGGATATGCCATTTACAAATATATTCTCCCATACTGTAGGATGGATGCCTTTTTGCTCTGTTGATGGTGTCCTTTGCTGTACAGAAGATTATTATCTTGATGTAGTTCCATTTGTTCATTTTTTATTTTGTTTCCCTTGCCCAAGGAGATGCGTTCAGGGAAAAGTTTCTCATGTTTATATTCAAGAGGTTTTTGCCTATGTTTTCTTCTAAGAGTTTTATGGTTTCATGACTTATATTCAGGTCTTTGATCCATTCTGAGTTTAGTTTTGTGTATGTGGTTAGACAATAATCCAGTTTCATTCTCTTACATGTAGCTGTCCAGTTTTGCCAACACCAGTTGTTAAAGAGGCTGTCATTTCCCCCATTGTATGTCCATGGCTCCTTTATCATATATTAATTGACTGTATATGCTTGGGTTTATATCTGAGCTCTTTATTCTGTTCCATTGGTCTATAGGTCTGTTCTTGTGCCAGTACCAAATTGTCCTAATTACTGTGGCTTTGTAGTAGAGCTTGAAGTTGGGAGTGTAATCCCCCTTGCTTTATTCTTCCTTCTCAGGATTGCTTTGGTTATTTGGGGTCTTTTGAGATTCCACATAAATTTTATAACTATCTCCTCTAGTTCGTTGAAGGATGCTATCAGTATTTTGATAGTGCTTGCATTGAATCCGTAGATTGCTTTAGGCAGGATGGCCATTTTGACAATATTAATTCTTCCTAGCCAAGAGCACAGATGTGTTTCCATTTATTGGTATCTTCTTTAATTTCTCTCATGAGTGTCTTGTAGTTTTCAGAGTATAGGTCTTTCACTTCCTTGGTTAGGTTTATTCCTAGGTATTTTATTTTTTTTGATGCAATTGTGAATGGAATTGTTTTCCTGATTTCATTTCTGCTAGTTCATCATTAGTATATAGGAATGCAACAGATTTCTGTGTATTAATTTTGTATCCTGCAACTTTGCTGAATTCAGATATTAGTTCTAGTAGTGTTCGAGTGGATTCGTTAGGGTTTTTTATGTACAATACCCTGTCATCTGCAAGCAGTGACAGTTTAACTTCTTCTTTAGCAATCTGGATGCCTTTTATTTCTCTGTGTTGTCTGATTGCCATACCAAGGACTGCCAGAACTATGTTGAATAAAAGTGGAGAATGGGCATCCTTGTCTTGTTCCCGATCTTAAATGAAAGGCTTTCAGCTTCTTGCTGTTAAGTATGATGTTGGTTGTACATTTGTCACATAAGCCCTTTATTATGTTGAGGTACTTGCCCTCTGTACCCATTTTGTTGAGAGCTTTTATCACGAATGGATGTTGAATTTTGTTCAATGCTTTTTCAGCATCTATGGAGATGGTCATGTAGTTTTTGTCCTTTTTGTTGATGTGGTTGGTGATTTTGATGGATTTTTTAATATTGTACCATCATTGCATCCCTGAAATAAATCCTACTTGATCATGATGGGTGATCTTTTTTTTTTTCAATGAAATAAATTTTAATAGAGGTTTTATTGGAAAAAATCATACCTATATCCAAATAATGTTATGTTAAAACCATGTTCCTTGACGATTTCACTAAGCAGCTGGATATAATCTGTATTTGGAATGCTGTGGAGGCTTCTTTTCAGTAAGTTGATCTTTTCACCAGGAGAACTCCTCACGGAATGCCAAGTACATCCTAAGGAAAGTCCCACTACATTTCTTAAAGAAATGTGGTTCTCTGGGAAATATTACTGAATTTTTGCAAGAAATTTATTTCTCAGCAGCATTTTTTTTTGATGCTCCCTTTCCAGTTTCCATAAAAGATTCTAGCCTGCAAATTGTGGTATATTCTCTCTTATGAGTAGGCCCTCCCTCCTGGGAAAGGGTATATTCAGGAAGTTTCCAGCCATGATGAGTAGCCAATTCCTGTAATGAACCAATAGGATTAAGCTGGTTCTTTGGTTGCTTGGAAGGGTTAGGCATTGAGGGGTCAGGAACTGCAAAGCAAATACTTGCATTGGCTTTCAAAATGTTTATGGCAGCCTCTGCTGCTCTATGTTTTGCCAGTTTCTTACTTGTACCTTTCACCTGAAGTAAGGTTAAAAAAAAGTCTGTGCAGGTTATGTCACCAACAGTTACTTGGAAGGTGAAGGTGGGTATGTGTACTTGCACATCAGATCTTTCACATTCACAGACCGGGACATTCTTGGTCTTCACGGTGTGTTCGTGTAATACCTGAATTGGTGTTTTCCCTGGTTTAGCTGTAATCATCTTCCCCAAACTGAAGGTCCTGCTGTCCTTGTGCTCAAGTGGTGGGGCCACGGCACGATGCCTGCTCTGGGACATGGTCAGAAAGGACAGCACAGTGGCAGGAGGAAGAGCGGTACAGAGTGATGTTTTTGCTCCCTGGTATGGCTGGTGCCCAAGAGGAGTGCTCCAGCTCCAGCGCCGCCACTGCCGCCTCCTCCCCTTCCTCCCCTCCCACTCCCCTCTTCTCCCTGTGATGGGTGATCTTTTTTTATGTATTTTTGTATTTGGTTTGCTAATATTTTGTTGATTATTTTTGCATCTATGTTCATTGGATTTTGGTCTTTAATTTTCTTTTTTTGTGGTGCCTTTGCCTGGTTTTGGTATTAGAGTGATACTGGCCTCATAGAATGAATTTGGAAGTATTCCCTCCTCTTCTACTTCTTGGAAAAGTTTAAGGAGGATGGGTATTAGGTCTTCCCTAAATGTATGATAAAATTCAGCGGTGAAGCCATCTGGTCCAGGGGTTTTGTTCTTAGGTAGTTTTTTGATTCCAGTTCAATTTCATTGCTGGTAATTGGTCTGTTCAGATTTTCTGTTTTTTCCTTGATCAGCCTTGGAAGGTTGTATTTTTCTAGAAAGTTGTCCATTTCTTCTAGGTTATCCAGTTTGTTAGCATATTATTTCTCATAGCATTCTCTAATAATTCTTTGTATTTCTGTGGTGTCCATAGTGATTTTCCCTTTCTCATTTCTGGCTCTATGTGTGTAGACTCTCTTTTTTTCTTGATAAGTCTGTCTAGGGGTTTATCTATTTTATTAATTTTCTGTAAGAACCAGCTTCTGCTTTCATTGATTTTTTTCTATTGTTCTATTCTTCTGGATTTTATTTCTGCTCTAATCTTTATTATGTCCCTCCTTCTACTGACTTCAGGTGTCATTTGTTCTTCTTTTTTCTTGTTCTGTTATTTGTGAGTTTAGCCCATCCATATGGGATTGTTCTTCTTTCCTGAGTTAGGCCTGTATTGCAATATACCTCCCTCTTAGCACAGCCTTTGCTGCATCTACAGATTTGTGGTGTTGAGTTATTGTTGTCATTTGTCTCCATATATTGCTTTATCTCTGTTTCAACTTGTTCATTGATCCATTGGTTATTTAGGAGTCTGTTGTGAAGCCTCCATGTGTTTGTGGGATTTTTCATTTTCTTTGCATAATTTATCTCTAGTTTTATACCTTTGTGATCTGAGAAACTGGTTGGTACAATTTCAATCTTTTTTAATTTACTGAGGCTCTTTTTGTGGCCTAGTATACGATCTATTCTTGAAAATGTTCCATGTGCACTTGAGAAGAATGTGTAGCCTGCTGCTTTTGGGTCGAGAGTTCTGTAGATGTCTGTTAGGTCCGTCTGTTGTAATGTGTTGTTCAGTGCCTCTGTCTCCTTACTTATTTTCTGCCTGGTTGATCTGTCCTTTGGAGTGAGTGGAGTGTTGAAGTCTCTTAGAATGAATGTGCATTCTATTTCTCCTTTTAATTCTATTAGTGTTTGTTTCACATATGTAGGTGCTCCTGTGTTGGGAGCATAGACATTTATTATGATTATATCCTCTTGTTGGATTGACTCCTTTATCATTATGTAATGTCCTTCTTTGTCTTTTGTGACTTTCTTTGTTTTGAAGTCTATTTTGTCTGATACAAGTACTGCAACTCCTGCTTTTTTCTCCCTATTAGTTGCATGAAATATTTTTTTCCATCCCTTCACTTTTAGTCTGTGTATGTCTTCAGGTTTGAAGTGAGTCTCTTGTAGGCAGCATATAGATGGGTCTTGTTTTTTTTATCCATCAGTGACTCTGTGTCTTTTGATTGGTGCATTCAGACCATTTACATTTAGGATGATTATCAATAGGTATGTACTTATTGCCATTGCAGGCTTTAGATTCGTGGTTACCAAAGGTTCAAGGGTAACTTCCTTATTATCTAAGAGTCAACTTGACTCACTTAGTATGCTATTGCAAATACAATCTAAAGGTTCTGTATTTTTTCTCCTCCTTTTTCTTCCTCCTCCATTTTTTATATATTAGGTATTATATTCTGTACTCTTTGTCTATCATTTGACTGAGTTTGGGGTAGTTGATTTAATTTTGCATTTGCTTAGTAATTAATTGTTCTACTTTCTTTACAGTGGCTTTATTACTTGTGGTGACAGCTATTTAGACTTAGGAGCACTTCCATCTATAGCAGTGCCTCCAAAATACAGTGGAGAGATGGTTTGTGGGTGGAAAATTCTCTCTGCTTTTGCTTATCTGGAAATTGTTTAATCTCTCCTTCAAATTTAAATGATAGTCTTTCCACATAGAGTATTCTTGATTTGAGGCCCTTCTGCTTCATTGCATTAAATATATCATGCCACTCTCTTCTGGCCTGTAAAGTTTCTGCTGAGAAGTCTGATGATAGCCTAATGGGGTTTTTCTTTGTATGTGATATTTTTCTCTCTCTGGCTGCTTTTAATAATCTGTCCTTATCCTTTATCTTTGCCATTTTAATTAGTATATGTCTTGGTGTTGTCTTCGTTGCTTCCCCTGTGTTGGGAGATCTGTGGAGTTCCATGGTCTGAGAGACTATTTCCTTCCCCAGATTGGGGAAGTTTTCAGCAATTACCTCCTCAAAGATAGTTTCTATCCCCTTTTCTCTCTCTTCTTCTTCTGGCACCCCTGTAATGCAAATATTGTTGCATTTGGTTTGGTCACACAGTTCTCTTAATATTTTTTCATTTTTAGAGGTCCTTTTTTCTCTCGATGCCTCAGCTTCTTTGTATTCCTCTTCTCTAATTTCTGTTTCATTTGTCATCTCCTACACTCTATCTAATATTCTTTTAAATCCCTCCATTGTATTCTGAAATTATTGGATCGCTATCCTGAATTTGTTCCTGTGTTCTAGAATATTTTTTTTTACCTTTGTGAGCATGTTTATGACTTTTATTTTGAAATCTCTTTCAGGAAGATTGATGAGTTCAATTTCTCTTGACCCTTTTTCTAGGTTTTGTTGGATTTTGGGTTGAACCTGGTTCCTTTGACATTTCATATTTGTATGTGGTACCCTCTAGTACCCAGAAACTGTACTCTCTTGAGCTGCTCAGCCCTTGGATCAATGTCAGGCTTTGCAGGGGAGCAGTGCTGGTGCCTGTGGGGAGGAAAGAGCTGTTTCTTGCTTCCTGGCTGCTATGACTGTCTCCAGTGCCAGAACCAGTGGGCAGAACACACAGGTGTATGTCTCTATGCTTTGTGTTTGTAGCTGCCATAGGCCAGGCTTCCCTCTGACTGGTCTGATGCCAGGGCAGGGGCTCCCTGTTTGCAAGCCAGGTGAGGACTAGCCAGGAGCCAGGGGTGTCCTGCATATCACAGTGGGGGGGCCTTGGAGCTGCGTAGCCAGCCAGTGGGATCGAGCACACGAAGCTCCTGAAAATTCCCAACCTGCTGGGCAGAGTGAGCCCAGAAAATTTTGTCTACTTGTTCTTTCTTTTGAGCATAAGCTCTGTGCAATCCTTGCCCCTTTAGCACACCTCTTGCTGTTAGGAAGTCTCTCAGATGGCCTGCCTTTCTTTTGTCCCAGAGCAGCTGGATATGGATTCCTGTTTTCCACAAGTGGCTGAAAGCTCAGTCTGTCCAGGTGTTCCTCTTGTCTTAGCTTTTCAACCCCACTAATCACCGGAGCACCATGCAATGTAGGTTCATGCTCCCAGAGCAATCTCCAGGGCTAGGTGTTGAGCAGTCAGTCTCAGGCCTCCACTCCCTCCCTGCTCCATTTCTTTTCTTCCCTTCAGTGAGCTGGGTTGGGGAGGGGCTTGGGTCCCGCCGGACCATGGCTTTGGTACGTTACCCTGTTTTGTGAGGTCTGTTCTTTTCTCCAGGTGTATGCAGTCTGGCGCAGCCTTCTTTCCTGTTGCTCTTTCAGGGTTAGTTGTATTAATTATATTTTTGTATTATATGTGGTTTTGGGAGGAGGCCTCTGTTTCACTTCCCACACCACCATATTTATTTTATTGTCCTGGAAGCAAGTTTTAAATAATGCAGATATATACTGTCCTGTGGGACTACACTGTAAATACTGCTGGTCTCCAAATCAGATTTGTCTCTTAAGTAACATTTGGAAAAATTTGGGCACCAGGTGAGTGTATAAGCTGCTTCCTGGGAGATACCATTAAGCTGTAATGAAGCCAAGAGAGTACAGTAGGATGGTGTCTTCCACTTACATCCCCTCAGAGCCTCTAGCCTGTCCCTGAGGCTGAAACTCCAGAACAAGTAAACAGGCCTTTTTCACTGAGGGTATGTTTCAATCTAGTGTCTGTGCAGTGCACTGAGGATGGTAGAATGCCAAGAACTTTTCTTTCCAATTGTTACAGTCCCATGGAGCCCATGAACACAAGCCCCCTTAGCTTCCAGAGCCTGGCAATTAAGGGGTGACTCTTTTGTGGATTTCATACCCCTTCTAGCTTTCGTGAGGCAGCTGGAGAGCAGGTGTGGGGCTTACTCACTGGCTTCAGTAAGGTAGCAGGAAAATACCTTAACTGCAGGCACTGGCTGGCTTGAACAATGCATGGGAGAGTACCTTGTCCGTGTGTGTCTGCCTCCTTCAACCAGGGAGTGGAAGAAGGCCACGATGACTTGTGTTTGATGGCCCCAACCAGGAAGCAGGGAAGTGCTGAACTGCCTGCCCTCAATGGCTTCAGTAAGGTAGTGGAATAGTGCCATGGCTGCTCACCCTGCCTGCCTTAGGAAGGCAGCAGGAAGGTGCTGTGTACTTTGCACCCACCTGCACCAGTAGGGAAGAGGGAGGGTTCACAAATGGAGTCTGCCAGCACCTCTGTCTCTAGAGAGTGTCCCAATTGTCCCCTGTCCCTCCAGCAGATACTTTAAGAAATGAATCTTCTTCACATATACTCTAGGCACTTTTCAAACTGCAGCTTTTTTGCTGGGTTTTTGGGCAAGCCAGACCCCAAGCAAGCCCTTTAAGAGGAGACTCTCAGTTCCCTACAGCCCTTTGGGTCTTTGGACATAAACCTCTTTAGTTTTACTAAGGCTGTCATTTGGGGGGTTTGTCTCTCCA